AAAAAAAAAAAAAAGGCAAGAAGTGCAAGATTAGTGTGTTTGCCTCCCCATGGTCAAAACAAAGAATGAGGGGCCTGAAGCAATATATTACCTTTCCCTGAACACTGTGACAGAAGTCAGATAGCATGTTCAATTCAATAAGCACCATGTTAAAATCTTTACATGGATTACCTCATTTGATCCTTACATTAAAACTAAAAAGTAGGTACTATTATTATTTTCATTCTATAAACTAGGAATATAAGCACAGGATAAAAAAAGACCAAAAAACCCAAATCTAAGTCTGTGACTCCAAAGCCCTTGCTCTTAACAGCTGTGCTGTGCTGTCCTCTGCTATCAGAGCTGGCACTCCTCACCTGAGCAGGATGGCCGCCCCATGGGCACCCACAGCCACATCTACCAGATCATCTCCATCAAGATCTAGCCGGCCATCCACACTTCGGCCAAAGTAGCTGAGAGCCTGTGGCATGGAGACAGCAGCAATCCGCTAAGAGGAAGAGAGGGGAGACTGAGGCAGGGACACACACACCTGTTTTTCCAGTCCTTCTGACAGGTTCTTTCTAATACTCCTACCAGGCAAGGGAATAAGAGAAACTTGCCTATTCTCAGGAGTCCCTAGTTCAGCAATCTGTATCCTACCCCACCACCTCACTTGTTGACCTACAGACAAAAGCATTTGTTTGGTTTTGGTAGCAGTCCAAGGGGACTATAGATAGGCAAGAAAACACCTTCCTTCCCCTTCATCCCACTTTACCCTTCTTTATCTGAGCACTCCTGACCTGAGCAGGATGGCGCCTGACTCCACTTTGGGTTCCATGATACAGGTACAGTGCTCCCTGGTGCCCATCTTCCAGGGGAGCCCCCACAGCCACATCAGCAAAACCATCTTGGTTCAGATCAGGAAGGGCACCCATGGCAAAGCCAAACCGAGCATCCTGGGGAAGTTCTGGCTGAAGTGTTTCTTGGAGCATCAGCAAAGATTGCTAGTGGAGGTGAGAAGATAGATATTGACCTGGCAGCCTCAACCTCTCAGCAAGAACTCAAATACATGTGCCTTCCCTCCTCCCTTCCCTCACGTTGCCTCCCCCACCCCATCCTACAAGGACGGTTCCAGTAAGTCTCACCTGGCCCACAACATACACATAAACACGTCCTGTCTCCTTGTTCTGGGGTCCCAGGAACATGGGGGCAGCCACAAGTAAGACATCAGTTGTTCCATCCCTATCCGTATCCAATGGACAGAGCTCACTGCCAAAGTACGAACCAATCTGGGGAGTGGTGAGTGGTGATGACCCCAGAGAAAAGGGAAGGTGATTGTCAATAAGTAGACTCATTGGGAAGCACTCACCAGCCTGCCAATTGGGTCCTTATTTCCCTGACAGACTCTGCCAATCAGAATTCAGCACAGATTTTTCAGGCCTCTCTTAATCAGGTCCCCTCTCACTCTTCTCCCTCAGCCTGGAAGTCCCTGCAAATCCAAGAATCCCACCCTCTCTTGATTCCATACCTGCTCTCCCTGGAGACTGTGGGCAACCCTCACAGCCCCATCTTTCTTAAGCTGGAAGGCAATGACTTTTCCTCGATGTTTAAACCTAGGAGCCCCTGAGAGAAAGAGGCGTCGTCCACCTTGCAAAAGCATGGAGGAAACAGAGTAACCTGCGTAAGACATCAGAGGCAAAATAGAAAGAAGATGAGATTAGAGTGGAGGACCCCCAAAAACACAGGAGGAAGGCCCAAAGGAAAGAGTAAGAGAGCAAGAAGAAACTGCATGAGTTAAGAGGCAGCACCTCATATCTGCAGCAAGTTTTCTTCCTGCCTCCCCCAGTATTCCACAGCCTCCTGCTACTCACCTAGGTAGGCTGCATGGTTCTGCAACGCAGGGGGAAATTCATCTTCCAGGGCTGTTCGTGGGGGGGAAAGGCGGCGACCTTCTTCAAGCCATAACACTGAGCCTCCCCAGTCATAGGCCCCCACCATCCCAAAGAGAATTCCATCCTGCAGGGCAGAACCAGATAGGGTTACTGAGAACACAGTGGGAAATAAGGAGAAAAACTCTCCAGGAGTGAGATCAAGAGAGTATGCTATAGTCAGTTAGAAATACATGGAAATGCCCACCCAGCACAATAAAAATTAAAAAAGAAAGAAACATCTTTAAGGTTAACATGGAGGTTGGTTAAAGAATGTGAAAGGGCCCTGAGTAAACTGAAGTTGCTAGAGGTTGGAGGGAGTCATGAAGAATTAGAGGCTGAGAGATGTCATGGAGGAATCAGTCTATCCAACCTTCAGTTGATGAGTGGAGAAACCAATCTGAGACATTTCCAGCCCAAAGGAACTTTCATTTTCTCCATGGGACCCTTGGGCATGAGAAAATAGCAAGACACTATCAGGAGAAGAAAGTTCCCTTTTGACCTACTGAACTCATTCTAGAACTTCACCTACACCCCAGAACTCCTCCCTCCCCCTTCCATTTCTCCAGGAGAATCATTACCCTCAAGGCCAAAAATTCGGTCTCCTAGTGCATCCACAATGTCAGTCAGTGCAGCCTCATCTGTGACATTGAAGAAGAATCGCTCATCAGGGTCACTGGCAATAGCTCTAATTTCCTGAAGGAAAGAGCTAGGGTCTCGCTGCCGCCGGAGGTAGTGACCAAGGACCTTAGGTTAAGAGATCAAGATGGGGTCTTTTAGCTGTATGGAATTAGGTGTCAGCACTGATACAGAACATAGCCAACTCAAGCAAAGGGAAGGAAATATGACTAAAGTACAGGAAAATGTTAATGCTCTATTTTTCTCAAGTTCTTGGTCTTTCCTCTACAATCCTTCTAGATTCACAGTCAAAACTCACTGCAATCCCATAGCGTATGACTCTTCCAGCCTCACAGGCCTTTAATGCTGCAGGAAGCTCCTCTCCATCATGTGATTCTCCATCAGTGACAACTACTAGTAGCCTGGCAGCCTCTGGTCGGCCCCCATGGGATTGACTAAACCCTTCTGTGCTGAGAAGAGAAAAATGAATGAGGCATGATCAGATGAATACACACACACGCACACACACACACACGCACACACACACACACACACACACATACACAGGATTTAATAATGTCAGCAGTTCACTGAGATCTTGCCTCTTTAGGCCACTTCCCAACTGTGTCTAACATGGAAAGTGGCACAGAGTAACAGCTCAAATGTTCGAATGCCATAAAATATATGGAATAGCACATCATCAGTGCAAATAAGCACAAAATAACTTATTCATAGATTCATTCAACAAATATTGGATTTGGGAAGGCAAAATATTAAGGGAATGCAGAATAAAGAAGAATGATCAGGTTAGGGGAGTCTTCCCACAGATGAGTTTTAGATCATGTTTAGAAAGAGGGCTAAGACATGCGTACAGGTGAACCTGAGGACCAGGATCAAAGTTGGAGTGGAGGAATAGAGATAGAGTTCCTTCTGCACTGATAAACAAAGGCATGGAGAGACAAGACATAGATACTGTAGAAATGCAGTTAGAGGGAGTACAACCACAGACAACCATAGCCTTCCCCCATGCACCACTGGTGTGCATATAAAGATAAGTAAAATATCTTAGAAGGTACACAATACACTCTAAACCCTCCCATAGCCCTTCTAATCCTTCATCTCTCTGGCCTCCCACATGCCCCTTCACAATGCCTCACCAGGCCACCATTATTGCTTGAGCAGTCTTTGTTTCTCGTCCCTCTCGCCGACTGAGGTTCCTTGCTGCTCTCACCACTTCTTCCTTGGTTCGGAAATCTCCCAGGGACCACTCATGCACAGGGCTCTCCCCATACTGTACCAGTCCCACCTGAGAATAAAGTGTTCACCCAAATGGAATGGATGAAGGAGGAATAAGAAGGAGAAGAAAGGATGTGAAAGAGAGATGAACACCAGGATAATACTGAAGATATCAACTACACATCTCTCTCCCTCCAAGCCCCTTCATATTGCCTTCTCTCACCTGTATCTGTTCTGGATCAATAAACAGTCTCCCTACCAGTCTCCGTAGGAAGGTCTGAACTTCAGACCAGGGGTAGATGCTGTTGGAGCCATCCAAAACGATTAAAACATCCATGTATGTGGGGCAGCCTAGGAGGAGGGGTATGGTGATGGGAAACAATGACATAGGAGGACCTAGGGTCAACAGGGAAGATTATAGTAGGGCATATTCAATTCAAACATTTATCAGGCACTTCTCACATGCAAGGAAAGTACTGTGCCAAGCCCTGGGTAAGTATAGAAATTAATAAAATTAGAGAAAGTCATATATGTAATAAAAAAAAAACCCAAAGAACAAAATAAGCTCTAGATAAAAGCATAGTAACACTCTGTGCTGTGGGAGAATGAAAACCAATCAATTTTTTTCAAGTGCTAGGGCTTCACTCGTGCTAGATATATGCTCTACCACTGAGTTACACTCCTATCCCCAGAGGGTCAATTCTGATGTGGAGGATCAAAAGAGGAGGCAAAGGCCAGGGGTGATGGTACACACCTGTAATCACAGCACTTGAGAGGCTGAGGCAAGCAGATCACAAGTCTAAGGACAGCCTGGGCTACATAGTGAGACCCTATCTCGAAACAAATAAACAAAGGCAGCAAGTCAAAAGGTTATTGTTGGCTGAGGGTATAGCTCAATGATAGAGCACTTGCTTGACATGCATAAGGCTCTGGGTTCAATCACCAGCACCACAAAAAGAAGATATTGAAGACTATAGGAAAATGCATGTAGGCAGAGAATACTTTAGCTCAGACTGGTCTCAAACTCTTGATTCTCCTGCCTCATCCTCTTGGTGATTACCAGTGTGCACCACCATGGCTGGTTGGATGAACAGTTTAAACAAAGGGTATAAAAATAGTTGGCAAACAGGAAAATGGTGAAGTGAATGCTATGGCATATGTGGATGGATAGGTTGAATGAATGTTTTTGTTTGTTTTTTGGGGGGGTTGGTGGTGGTAGTACTTAGGTTTGAATTCAGTAAAGCTAGGCAGGTGCTAGATAGGTGCTTTACTACTTGAGCCATTCTACCAGTCCTAGGTTGAATTTTTGAAATTGGTTAGACCAGATCATGGAGTCTTGATGCCCTGGTAAGGTGTCTGAATTCTAATCTTAGAAACATGGAGTTTTTGCAGGCACAATAGGTAGCAACCAAGATAACCATGCAGACCCTCCATTAATCATACCCTTTTGCCCCCATTTTTTCCCACCCAGCATCCCTTTCTGGGAGATTAGTCCTCATGCCCTTCCTCTGGCTCACGTTGGGCAGTGGGTGCCAGGCTTCCCTGGGGCTGGAATGAAGCATCCACACGGGCACATATTCCGGAACTGAAGACAGAGCTGCCACAAGCACGAGACCAGAGAGGGGCACAGGCCTGGGGATGGGTGGGGGAAATAGTTACTCCCAGGCTTGGGAGAGTACCTTCAGAACATGCTCCCAGTCAAAGGAGAGACTGATCACACTCCCTGAAATGCCCTATCTTTCCTTCTAGATTTTTTAAAACTCCATGACCCCTCCACAAACCAGTTTCCTTTGCCACAATGCTCTTTTCTCTACCACAAACCTTTATAGACCCTGCCACAACCCTTTCCTTAGCTCACCATGAATCCCCCATCACCATCTGTCTCTAGTAGAGACATCCCCAGGTGCATATTCACAGCAGGATGAGATGAATTGCCCAGTTGGTAATCACCTGGTTGGAGGGGAATAAAAGAGAATGAAAGGCGGGGGGCTTGAATTCAGGGTAGTTTGGGTAGAAAATGAGAAAGGATCAGTATCAAGTTGGAGATAAGGAGGGTGTGGGTTATGGGGCAAAGAAACTGACGTATAAGAGGTCAGAGCTTCTAGAGTGTCAAAGTCAGGGGTTAGGAGGGGAAGGGTCAGGCATCTTCTTACCCAAGTGGCCCTTGGCACATGGGGCATTGTGGGTCCCCCCTACAGAGCAGCGATAAACGTCACCCCTCCGGTCGCCTGAAGGCCCATCCCAGGGAGCACCCACCAGCATCCTGGGAGGAGGATGTGAATATAAGTGTCAGGTGAACATGACCCCTGACTTAGCCAGAGGAAAAGTGCACAGAGGTGGCAAGATTAGAGTCCCAGTCCCTTTCAAAAGACCAGATGAAACCCAAGATTGAGACCCATCTATTTTGCCTTTCCTTTCTCAGCACTCACAGACCCAATCCGATGGCCCTCTGGTTTCCTCCTCACCATGGCTGTCCACCCCCAACATGTTGTAAGACGCTGTATCCAAATTCAGCTTCTGGTGGCCCTGTGAATAGGCGTGGGTGATGCACGTCCAAGTTGAAGGGGGAGCAGAGACCTGGGGAGGAGGGACCAGGATAATAGAGTCAGCGTGAACTGGTCAGTCATTGGAGAACTGGAGAGGCACTGCCAGCGGGAAGTCATGAGGGATCGATCCCAGAGCATGTTAGGAAGCACTTCACCACCTGAGCCGCACCATTTTGCTTGTATTTTCTTTTTGAGATAGGGTTTCACTATATAGCCCATTCTGGCCCCGAATTCAAGATCCTCCCGCCCCTCTCAAATTGCTGAGATTACAGGCATGCACCATCATGTCAGGTTTGAGAATATTTTGATTTTAGTGTTTCAGCGTGCTTCTTACTTATAAGCTCTCCTGGACTTAATGTCATATACTCAGAGCCCCAACTGGAATGATTCCTTCCCTGTTTGGATCCTATGGCCCTCTGCCACACCGATGCACAGCTGTATTTCCACTCCCATTCCTGAAATCTCATTCACAGACATGTCTAACAAGGTCAAGTTACTCTTTTCTACATCATTCCTCCTACACATCCTCCTCTCCAAACCATGAGGGCCAAAAGTGGGAGAGATCCTTTCTGAAGCTCCTGAATAACCATTCTTCCCAAATATTTCCAAACCCCAGGACCATAGGGAGAACAAGAGGATGGTGAAGAGTACCATGTGTCTGAATATCTCCTTTCTCTTCCTGATTCCCAGTGACATTGTCACACTCTCACTCTCTCTAATGTGTAGGTCTCTGGTTGCTTCCAGCCCTGGAAACGTCAGTAGTAATTAACTAGGTGGGGCGACCCATCTGCCCACACACATAGTTTGTCATCTATTCTTGTCAAGAGTCCCATCACCCCAAAGTTCCCCACCATTTGCTTTTTTTTTTTTTTTTAATCTCATGCACCCTCCAAACTTCCCTACCTCCATGTTTTCCTCAAACTTTGCCCACTCAAAAGGCCTCTAATTGTGTCCTGGCTGATTCTTCCCTTCTGACTCCAATTCCCTTAAAATCAGAGCTGGTATTTTAGGAAACAAAGATTATAGGGCACTGGCAAGGAAAAATTCGTTTCTCCCATGGTTCTCTTCTCAACTGTGTCTTGCAAGCAACCCCCTCTCAGGCTATCCCTCCACCAACACTACCAATAGCTATAGCTCTAACTCAAACCATGCTCACTTTCAGAAAGATATTTTGTATGTGAGCTTTTTTACATCCAGGAAACTAGCAGGGTTGCATGAGCAGGAACTGTATCTCATTGGTTAGATAAACCTGAGTTGTGAGCACATAGCAAGGCAGTTATGCCTCAAGACCCAGGGACAACTACGGGTAGAGAGTAGTAAGGAGGGACGTAACAGGAATCAGGCTAGCTACGTGGAAGAACAAATCCTGTTTCTTTTTGGTCTCCTTACTCCCACAGGGCTTAGTACAAAGCTTTGAGATAATTAGGTACAACTCTTACACAAGATCCTAGGGAGCTTTAGCCCAATAGTCTTCATATTGTAGTAGTCATATGTGGGACCACAAGAATGTGCATACACATATGAAATGTAGAATCAGTATTAACTTCCAACCCTAACTCCCGGAGAATTTAAGCCCAGTGGCTTCAAGTCCAAACAATCTTTATATCTTTCATTCCCACCAGAAACCAAGAAGTTAACTTCCCTCACCTGTCAGGAACATTAGGCCCAAGAGCAGGTGAGGGAAGAAGGGGAGCTTCACGCTGGTCATTCTGCCCTGTGTGAGAAGTCTTCTGTGCCTCTGTCCCTCTCCTTTTTCTGTTTTCTTTACTTTCCCTCCTATCCTGCCCCCTCCCACTGGCAGCTAAAAATAAAGTTGGAAGGAATGGGAGGAGTGATGGGGAACTGTGGGGAGCCCCAGACCAAGCAAAGGACTGAGTGACCTTAATCTATTTCTCTGCCTTAGTGCTGCCCCCTGGAGGCCTCATCTCAATGAGAAGAACATAGTTTTTGACAATTTCGCTGCTTCTCTTTTTTTCCACCTTTTGTTGCCAGGTCAATAATGGTTTCCTCAGATTTGGCACAGAAAGTAGGAGTAGGCAACAGATTCTTTTTACTTCCTTATTTATCTGAACCTGGAATATGCAAAATAAAAGCTGATGCAGTGGTATCATTTATACGCCAGGAGAATCCCGAAGACACAGTCCCCCAAGTCAAACCTTACCACCCCACTCCACTTAGTTCTGGTGATGCTCATGGTTCTTAGCCTATGCTGCCTTGTACTGTTAATAGTTTTTAGAAGGACTATGAACTGGTATGAGGTGTGTTTTATGGAGTCAGTAGAATTACTTTAGCTTAGACCACCCCTCCCTCAATTCATTTAGGCTATAAACTTCTCAAGAACTGTGGGAACCATGGAGCTTCTTAGCTTTTGCTATATCTATTTTTCCCTGAATAGGTTTTCAATGAAAATCTGTGAGTGATGTTAGTGGTCAATCCCATGGAAAACCCCAAACAATAGTGTCAGGAATAGGGGCTTCAAATCTCAATGAATGGCTGGATGCAGTGGCACAGAAGGCTGAAGCAGGAGGATTGCAAGTTCAAAGCCAGACTGGACAACACAGTGACACCAAAACTCAAAAAAATTTTTAAAAATTAGTCAATGAGCAAACTGATCTTTAATTTGCTAACCTGGAAGGCTTGCTCTTCATTGTGGGCATAGGCCACACCTATTTACACAGAATCATTATACAGTATTTACAGCAATGCTAGACATAGCATCAATCTGGATAGGTAAAGAAGGGGTAAGATTGCTCATATCACAGGTGTTTTGTTTTTTTTTTTTTTTTTTAAAAAAAAGGAGGTGGCTAAGAACCTACTAGGGAACAAAGCTCTGAGATTAAAGTGTAAGCAGAAATCTGAAAGTGTGATATGGGGAAAGAGAAGGGCTAAAACATGAGGGGGGTTGGTGAGGTAGATACAAGGAAGCATCAAATAACTGTGGTACAGAGATATGAGTCCACTGGGACATCACATAAAGTTTGAAAAACTATGGAGTTTAAAGGTGAAAAAAAAAAAAACTGCCACAAGCCACCTCTGTGAGAAAAAAAGAAGACAGTTAGAACCTTACAAACCAAACCTTATACCTCCCCTATCAAAAGAGTAATTAATTCTGTTTAAATTCCTGGACATCAGACTGAGAAGGTGAAAAAGAAAGATGTATACAGAGAATCTTAAAAAGACCTAAGACAGACAGAGTCAGAGAGACTCAGACAATGAAGAGGAAAGGAACAAAAACTCAGGCATCTGGACACTAGAATCATTCTGTTGACAAGTCATCTGTCCTGACTTCATCTACCTCAAAGCTCTTCCCTCCACCCCTAAATCTCTATATTTTAACTTTAATCAAGGAACAGAATTAGAATGACACTGGCACATGGGGGACAATGTAAGATTCCACCTCACCAACTCAGGTCCCCTCCTTATTCTGTACTAGAATTTCAGGGCTTGAGTCGTAGCCAGGGACAGATTAGGGTAAGAATAGATAGGATGGAGGATATGAGCCCACAAAGTCCCACGATCCCAGGGCCACAGCGCCAAAGCCCTAGTTTGTCCAGTGGGATGAACAGATCACAGGCATTTCTGACTACATCCAGCAGAAGAGGGGGATGACCTCGAAGGACCCGAGCCAGGAGCAAGACTCGGAGCTGAAGCTTCACAGCCAGGTGGGGGAGGCTTCCTCCTGGAGTCCCTGGTCCCCCAGGTCCCCCAGTTTCAACTCCTCCTGGGATTACTCCTCCAGAACCTTTCAGTCGCCTGCTATAAGCTGAAGACTCTTGTTCCATCAGTAAGCGTATTTCATAAGCATCACGGCTCAAATTCATGATGAGGGAAAACAGATAGTACCTAAGATACACAGAGCAAAAGGGTTAGAAAGTGTGTGTATTTATATTTAATATATCAACATAGCACTTAAACATTTTTTCACCTAGTACAAAGGGATTCCACATTAGAACATCAGAAGCGAATGCTATAACCCATTATTAAAAATGTCCTTCCTTGCCAGGCACTATAATCCTAGCTACTTGGGAGGCTAAGATCAAGAGAATTGTGGTTTGAGGCCAGCCCAGGAAAACAGTTCAAGAGACCCCCCATATCCAAAATACCGGAGCAAAACGGACTAGAGATGCAGCTCAAGCAGTAGAGTGCCTGCTTTGTAAACACAAAGCTCTGAGTTCAAACCTCAGTCCCACCAAAAAGAAGTCCTCTCTTAAGGATATTATGCCAAGTGAAATAAATCAGACATAGAAAAACAGATACCACATAATCTCATTTATATGTTGAATCTAAAATAGTCTAATTCATAGCCAGGTGTGGTGGCTCAAGCCTATAACTCTAGCTACTTGGGAGGCAGTGATCAGGAGGAGCATGGGTTGAGGTTAGCCATGGAAAAGTTCACAGAGACCCCATTTCAACCAATAGCTGGGCACGGGGGCATGTGATTGTCATCCCAGCTATGTGTGGAAGCCCAAATAGGAGAAACATGGACCAGGCAGGCCTTGGAATAAAGCAAGGCTCTATCTCAAAAATAACCAAAGCAAAAATGGCTGGTGGAGTAGATCAAGTGGTAGAGTATCTGCCTTGCAAGTGTGAAGTCCTGAGTTCAACCCCCAGTCCCCCCAAAAATAAAATAGTCTAACTCATAGAAACACAGAACAGAAACATGGTTACTGGGGGCTAGGAAGGGGTAAAGGAAATGTGAAGATGTCCATCAAAGGGTACAAAGTTACAGTTAGGCAAGATAAATAAATTCTGGAGAGCTAACATACTGCTAGCATGGTGACCACAGTTAACAATACCATAGGGCAATGATGGAAGGGGTGAATTCAACTATGATATATTATAAGAACTTTTGTAAATGTCATAATGTACCTCCAGTACAACAATAATATAAATAAAGTAAAAAAATAAGAAAGAAGAATAAGAAAAGAAAATAATACTGAAACATATACTTTTTGTTTGTTTGTTTTTGAGACAAGTTCTCAATGTGTAGACCAGGCTGGCCTTGAACTTGAAATATTCCGGCCTCACCCTCACAGGGTTCTGAGGTTACAGACATGCACCATTATGCCCAGCTGCATTACATACTTGAAATCTGCTGAGAGGATAAATCTCAAGTATTCTCACCACTGAAACAAAGGTAAGTATGGGGTTATGAATATGTTAACTAGCTTGATTGTGATGACCATTTTACAACATACACATACAAAACATCATGGTGTACACCTTAAATACATAAAATTTCCATTTGTCAATTATACCCCAACAAGAATAAAGAAAGAAAAATAGCCCTCCCACCTTTCTGCAACTGGTGTTTCTGTCAACCTTAAGATCCTGGCTTAAAGGCTTGGGGGGCACAGCTCAAGTGGTAGAGTGAAAGCATGAGGACCAGGATTCAATCCCCAGTAGCTCAAAAATAAATAAGTACATAAATAAGTAAAATGTCTTGGCTTAAAATTCATAAGCATCATGAAATCTTCTGGGATCAACCTTAAATTACACTTTTGAGGCTACCCCTTAGCACACAACACACTCAACTTGAACCTAACAGTGCAAACCTGTTTTGAAAAAACAAACTTCAGTTGTTTGAAGAGACTCATACATACATCCTCTAAATTCAATTATTTAAGAAAAAAATCTAACCTGGGTTCTAGTGGCTTGCACCTGGAATTCTAGCTACTTGGGAGGCTGAGATCTGCAGGATCACAGTTGAAGGCCAGTGCCAGCAAATAGTTTGTGAGACTCCCATTTCCAAAATAACCAGAGCAAAATGAACTAGAGGTGTGGTTCAAGCTTTACAAGCATGAAGTCCTGAGTTCAAACTCTAGTCCCACCAGAAAAAAAAAAAAAAAAAAA